TCGACCGAGAGACCGGACAACCAGGAGCCTGCTGACTCAGCGTCACCAGCCGCTCCTCCGGCTAACTCTTCTCCCCCATCTCTCGAGGACATTCCTTCTCGTCCTCCGTCTGCACCCTCAGACCTCACCTACCGAATTTTCCCAGATTCACCTGCGCGAACTCCCTCACCGACATTTTTCTTTTCGTCAGTCTCCTATTCTCTAGTACCTCTTTCCCCCGAGGAGTCTCGCGCTCCCTCCCTCGCAACCTCCATTAAGACCATAGACTTGGAAAGGGACTTACGCCCTTCTTCTCCTGCAAGTTCCACGGGAAGCGTCGAGTTTCTCGAGGAAATCCCCCCTCCTCGTCCCCGCTTGTACTGTCCCTACGGGGAACACGACTCGCTAGAGTCGATTATCCGTCAATTTCCTCAAATATATTCCCCGTTGGAACCCGGAACCTACACCATAGGTCCGGATGATTTTTGCCTAGAAGAAATCCGTACCACGGTCAGTTTCCTGGACCCCATCGACAATATTCCGGTCTATTTGTACCGCTCCCCCTTCCCCTATTTGGTACCCGTACTTTTCTTTTACAATTTCTTCCCCCCTTCTACCGCAACGCTGGAGGAGCTTGTAGAGGAATAAATATAATAGTAAAGTATGCACCAGTATAAATAAGGAACGATTAAGTTGCGAAGATGTAAAACAAACAATATTAGAAAATGCTGACGATATTTTTGACTCGCTCTCAGGTTCGCGCCCCGTTTCCTTATTTTAATATATAAGAATAAATAAAGACATATATATATATGTATATAATACTAATATAATTATTAGTATCCTATACCCCCACAGCGCTAGATCCTTCGATTTAATAATAATTGAAATGTTAAACGTAGTAACCCTCTCTTGTTCACGTATATATGAGCATTGTAAACATAGTTAAAAATAAATTTAATCAATTAATTTCTAAACTCTCTATAATTCATTAAACGACCTCACCCTCCTTCCTGCAACTTTCCCCCTTCCCTGCAGAAAATCGCACTGGTCCGATCCTGAGTCAAAGGGATTAAGTTCCTTGACCGAAACAGGACCAACGATCGCGCTGGCTTGAGATCGAGTAACATCGTCCCTTCAG